TGATTGCTGCCTCCTGTACAATGTCATAAACCTCCATCCATACTTCTTCAGGCACTCTGTCTATCAAATCTAGTCAAACCTATTGTTCACCTCCACTGTATATTCATCAGTGATATGCTCTGGGTCAAACCTGAATGGCCTAGTGGTTTAAGAACATAAGAACATAAGAGACGCCAATGTTGGATCAGGCCAAAGGCCCATCCAGTCCAACACTCTGTGTCACACAGTGGCCAGAAATACCAGTGCCATCAGGAGGTCCAGCAGTGGGGCCAGGACATTAGAAGCCCTCCCACTGTTGACCCCCCCCCCAAGCACCAAGAAGACAGAGCATCACTTGCCCCAGAGCCCCTAGCTATACCTTGTGGCTAATAGCCACTGATGGACCTCTGCTCCATATGCTTATCTAATTCCCTTTTGAAGCCGTCCATGCTTGTAGCACCCAACGGAAGTTTCTACTACAATGTTTGGTGCTCTGCGATGGATCCTGACAAGTGATGAACTTGGGAAACACACACACAACGCTGGCAAAATACACAATTCCAAAGGCAACACACCAGGCTAAAAGGAGATGGACAACCTCATCCTTGTATAGAAAACTCTGCTTTACTAAAATCACGGAAGGTCCTTATTGCACTTTCTCACATCTAGCATTCTTCAGCTGAAAGCCACGAACAACAATTCTTAAAAATTAACACTCATAGCAGCCTTTAATTCATGGCTCTGGCCCCTTTTCTACCAATACTACTATGCACAACAAAACCAGTCACTGTCTGAGGCAACAAAGCAAAACGGTTTTCCAGATTTCTTTGTGTGAAATGCACAACAATAAAAATGGAGGAAATAAAAGGACAAATGATCAGCTATGTTAAATGGGCTTTCAAAAGAACTTTACAGATAATACATGGAGACAGAAACATGACGAGAAAGGGAGTCAGGAATGGATCACGCTCTCCCCAAAACGTCAATACCCAACAGCAAGATATGTGTCTCATTTGATAGCTTTCATTTGATAGCATTTGATCCAGGAAATACAGACCAGAATGGTAAAGGGTGAGGCCCAAGAGGAACTTGCTTTCAGGGCCCGAGAGTGTGATTTGATCAAAGGCCAGTTTCTTTAAGTG